CCCGTTTCCGGATCCTGTTGCCCTGTTTCCTGTGGCTGCAGAAGGGATCGCCCCGCACCTGCAGGCTTAGGGCCCTGCCCGCTCGCCACAGCTCTGGGCAGCACAGCGGGCTCGGTCACAGAGGCCGACACAGCACGTCAGCCCGGGGTGCTCTGGTCTAGGGCCTGTCCCTCGCCCTCTGCTCCCAGGGCTGTGGCAGCTGACACGGCTCCGCTTTCTGCCCACCCTCTGACGGCCCCTCACCGGCCAGGGGGCTCTGCTCCAAAGGCCTGCCAGGTCAGGCCACCACACTCGGCTGCTGCTCTCTTTTTTAATGTATTTCTGTTGATTTCAGAGAGGAAGGAAGAGGGAGAGAGAGAGAGAGAGAGAGAAACATCAATGATGAAAGAGAACCATTCATCAGTTGCCTCCTGCATGCCCCCTACTGGGGGCTCAAACACACAACCCAGGCACGTGCCCTGGCCGGGATTTGAACCGTGACCTGCGGGTTCATAGATCAGTGCCCAACCACGGAGTCACACCAGCCAGGCCTCTTTTTATTCTGTTTCTGTCAATCCTCACCTGAGGCTGTTTCCCAGTGATTTTAGAGAGCCTGGAAGGGAGGTAGAGAGACAGAGAGAAACACTCATGTGAGAGAGACACACTGATTGGTTGCTTCTTGCATGTGCCCCAACCCGGCCAGGAAGCAGGCCTGTGACCAAAGTGTGTGCCCTCAACTGAATTGGGCAAGTGCTCTAACCACCGAGGAACATCGGCCAGAGCTATTCTTAATTCTCTTAAGTTTTTTAAAAACTCAGAATGGAGCCCTGGCCGGTGGTTCAGTGGTTAGAGCGCCGGCCAGCGCACCCAGTTCCATTCGGGGTCGCTCACTAGGCCCAGCCAGGGTGCCTGCAGGAGGCAGCCAATCAGTGTATCTCGCTCACATTGATGCTTCCTCTCCCTTCCACTCTCTCTGAATACCGGGGAGAGACCCTCCGGTGAGGATTAACAGGAACTGGGAGTGGGTAGTGAATTTCAGAGTGATTTTTTGGGGTGCCTTGGGAGATCTTACCGTTTCCCCCTTTTGGTCACAGTTATGTGTGTTCCCTGCACTCACTGCTCTAGAGTCCCCTGGCCTGCTCTCCGACGGGACACGGGGCCTCGGCTCCGCCCACCGTGGGCTCTGTCTGCGGTGCCCGCCCGCCTGGCCGGTGTGCAGCTCCGTGGCTCCCTCAGGCGAGGCGGAGACACTGCCTCACTGCTTCCCCGGGCGTTGCTTGAGCTGGGGTCCGAGAGCCGCCCTGGAGACACGCATTGGCTTCCGAGTCGTTGTGGGACTCCTGGGTTTTCTGTTTACGGCCCCCACTCCTTTTATACAGAGCTCGGCTTCACCGCCCAGACGTGGCCACACTGCTGCTCACCTGTCACGTGTCACATGTCCCGTGTTCAGTGAAGCCTCACAGGCACCCTGCCCCGCCCACGCTGACTGCCCTGCGGCCCCCTCCGACCTTCCCCGCCCGCCGCCGTTACCCTCCCCGCCTCTTCCGCATGAGGGTGCGGCCCCAGGCCCCTGTCTGCCCCGGCAGAGGCCCGCACTGGGACGGGTCAGGAGCCACAGCCACGCCACCCGTGCCGGGCAGGGGGTGTGGCCGGCGCAGCCTCGGGTGAGGGCCCCCAGGCCTGCGTCTCCCTCCCTCTGCCCCTTTTTTTGAAACTTAATTGAGCTCCAAAGAGTAGTTAATAACAGATGCAATTATGGGAAGGCTGGGAGTCAGACGATGTAAATGGGTGTAAGTGAACTCCAGCTGGTCTCTCTGACGGCTGTGCTGTCCTGGTGGTGAACCCAGCATTCGCACGGCTCGGGCTGTCCCCGTACCTGGCCCTTCCAGAGGCTTCCCTGCCGCCGTGGTCGGCCCTCACCGCCCGCCTGGCTCCTGTCCGGCACGGCTCTGGGTCCCTGAGCCTCACGGGACCGTGTGCTGGGGTGTCTCGTCCACCCCCGCAGAGCCCACATCCTCGCCCCCTGTGCCCCGAGCCAGACTGGAGCCTGCGGGAGGGGCTGGGCGGTGGTCCCAAGAGACACCTGCTCACCACACGGAAGTTAAAGGACAGTTGCAGCCGTTTCTCCGGGGCCAGCCCGCCACCAGGGCCCAGATGCTTCTCCGAGCTTCACAGCCTTCATCCTGCCTCCTGGGGCCCCGCCCGCTGTCCCCGGACCCCCCACTGCCCCGAGGTGCACCCCACACACACCTGCCTCAGGGACACACTGGCCTGTGTCCCTCTGTCCACCCTGGCCCTCACTGTCATCAATTCTTGCTTTCCTTCGGTCCATGCGTTCACTGGCCGGGCCGTTGCCTCGGTGTGGGGGTCACGGTGTGGGGGTCACAGGCTGGGGGTCGCGGTGTGAAGATCGCGGTGGGGGTCACAGTGGGGGCCGCAGTGGGGGGCCCGCCGGCCGCACTGGTGACACTGCTGTCTGTCTCCGCAGGCCCAGCATGTAGCAGAGGGTCCCGGCCACCGGTCCAGGTGAGAGCAGCGCTGGTTTCCCTCCGGGATCGCTGGGGCTGGGTGCACCTCCTCCCTCGGGCGGGGCCTGTGGGAGCTCGGGAAGCACCCTGGGGGGGCCCCCCCGCGGGTGCAGGAACCTGCGCCTCCCGGCTCCTTGCTGTGCGGCCGGCTCTGTGCGCTGTGGCCCCTGGACTGCACATCCAGCAGGGACCGGGGCAGCAGTACCGTCCCCGTGCGGGACCGAGCCCCCGGAGGGACTGAGCCTCCGGAGGGACCGAGCCCCCGGAGGGACTGAGCCCCGTGAGGGACTGAGCCTCCGGAGGGACTGAGCCCCCGGAGGGACTGAGCCCCCGGAGGGACTGAGCCCCGTGAGGGACTGAGCCCCGTGAGGGACTGAACCCCCGGAGGGACTGAGCCCCGTGAGGGACTGAACCCCATGAGGGACTGAGCCCCCGGAGGGACCGAGCCCCCGGAGGGACTGAGCCCCGTGAGGGACTGAGCCCCCGGAGGGACTGAGCCCCCGGAGGACTGAGCCCCCGGAGGGACTGAGCCCCGTGAGGGACTGAGCCCCGTGAGGGACCAAGCCCCCGGAGGGACTGAGCCCCGTGAGGGACTGAGCCCCCGGAGGGACTGAACCCCGGGAGGGACTGAGCCCCCGGAGGGACCGAGCCCCCGGAGGACTGAGCCCCCGGAGGGACTGAGCCCCGTGAGGGACCGAGCCCCCGGAGGGACCGAGCCCCCGGAGGACTGATCCCCCAGAGGGACCGAGCCCCCGGAGGACCGAGCCCCCGGAGGACTGAGCCCCCGGGGGACTGAGCCCCGTGAGGGACTGAGCCCCGTGAGGGACCGAGCCCCCGGAGGGACCGAGCCCCCGGAGGGACCGAGCCCCCGGAGGGACCGAGCCCCCGGAGGACCGAGCCCCCGGAGGACTGAGCCCCCGGAGGACCGAGCCCCCGGAGGGACTGAGCCCCGTGAGGGACTGAGCCCCGTGAGGGACTGAGCCCCCGGAGGGACTGAGCCCCCGGAGGGACTGAACCCCGGGAGGGACTGAGCCCCGTGAGGGACCGAGCCCCCAGAGGGACTGAACCCCGGGAGGGACTGAGCCCCGTGAGGGACACTGAGCCCCCGGAGGGACTGAACCCCGGGAGGGACTGAGCCCCGTGAGGGACTGAGCCCCCGGAGGGACTGAACCCCGGGAGGGACTGAGCCCCGTGAGGGACACTGAGCCCCCGGAGGACTGAGCCCCCGGAGGACTGAGCCCCCGGAGGACTGAGCCCCCGGAGGGACCGAGCCCCCGGAGGACTGAGCCCCCGGAGGACTGAGCCCCCGGAGGGACCGAGCCCCCGGAGGGACCGAGCCCCCGGAGGGACTGAGCCCCTGGAGGGACTGAGCCCCCATGAGGGACCGAGCCCCCGGAGGGACTGAACCCCGTGAGGGACTGAGCCCCCGGAGGACTGAGCCCCCGGAGGGACTGAGCCCCCGGAGGACCGAGCCCCCGGAGGACCGAGCCCCCGGAGGGACACTGAACCCCCAGAGGGACTGAACCCCGTGAGGGACTGAGCCCCCGGAGGACTGAGCCCCCGGAGGGACTGAGCCCCCGGAGGGACACTGAGCCCCCGGAGGACCGAGCCCCCGGAGGACTGAGCCCCCGGAGGACTGAGCCCCGTTTCTGCAGAAGATGGGCGCGGAGCGGAGCGCGGCGGGCAGGCGCGGGGGAGAAGACGCCGAGAGCGCAGCGCGGCGGCCCGGGCGCCCCAGCCGCTCGGCCGAGGCCTGAGCGCCCATGCGGAGAGCGGACCCGGCGCCCTGAGGAGGTAACGGCCGCTCAGGGGGATGGCGTCAGGGGCGGCGCTCACGGGGTGACGTCACGGGGATGACGTCACGGGATGAAGTCGGGGCGCCCAGGGACAGGGCTGCTCCCCGCAGGCTTTCTGCCTCCGCCACGGAGCGGGCAGTGACTGCAGCGCGAGCTGCAGCGCAGGCCAGGCGGAGCCCCTCCTGCCGGTGCGGAGCCCCTCCTGCCGGTGCGCGGTGCGCCGCCTGCTCCGGGCACCGCTGCCCCCTGGCGGCGGGTGGCAGGGCCGGCGGTCCTGCAGCAGGTGCCGCGGCCAGTGGACACGGCCTGTCTCCAGCCGGGCAGCGGCCCTCAGGCGGCCCCATCCCCGCCTCCGTGACCTGGTGGTGTAGACAGGCCTCCCTCCCTGGCTCTCAGCCGGAGTCTGGTTCCGGGACTGTCCCCGTGCGGTTCGGAGGCACACGCCATCCTGGTCCCCGGGGCGCCTGGCACTCAGCAGGTGGCGTCTGTGGGCTCCTCCGCCCTGTGCCCCCTCCCCGTGGGGTCAGCTGGGGAGGGGCCTGGCCCTGGCCAGGTGTGGGGCAGCCTCCCCCTCTGCACGCCTCTGGCTCCTGGAGGGACGCTCTGACTTCTCTCCCGAAGCCTGAATCTTGGGTGAAATGCACTGGAATGTCTCAGATATTAATTCATGTGCGTTTTTCTCTTGCAGAAGCCAAAGATGTTGACCAGAAAGATTAAACTCTGGGACATAAACGCCCACATCACCTGCCGTCTGTGCAGCGGGTACCTCATCGACGCGACTACCGTGACCGAGTGTCTGCACACGTGTAAGTGAGAATGTTCTAGAATGTGGTCTGACAGCCATGTGCCGGTGCACTGTCTGACCGAGTGCACGTGTGTGTGAAAATGTCTAGAATGTGGCCTCTGACGGTTTCTAGTCGACTGTTCTTCGATACTTGGGCTATTTTTTTTTTTTAAACCAAAAGTTTTAGCACAAGTACAAGGCAGGACAGAAGCAGGAATAAAAACGATCGTGAGGATAAATCAGAAAAGTGATTTCAAGTTAAAAATACTGTGAGTGCTTCCGTAGCGACACCATTTCCAAAAGCTCCGTCGGGGAGGAGGTGTGATTTGCGTAGAACAAACCGCGTGACGTGGAGTTCACTCCTGACGGGCGGGAAGGCTCGCTGTTTTACACGTTTCACACGGGATCGGGGGCCCGTACGTGGTCAAACGGGGAAGGCGCGTGGCCTGTGTGGACGTGGCCTGCCTGGCGAGCAGCCAGCCCGGCTCTCTGGTGATGCTGTGGAGGCCGAGGCAGACAGGCCCTGTCAAACCTGCACCTCCCTTCTAGCTTTTCACGTTGATTTTAGAGTGAGGAGGGGAAGAGAGAAACATCGATTGGTCGCCTCCCATATGCTCCCCGACCAGGACGTGCCCTGGGCCGAGAGTCAAACCCGCAGCCTCTCGGTGCATAGATGACATGCCCACTGAGCCACCCGGCCAGGGCCCTGTGACTCTTGGATCCTGTGCTTTTCACTTTAGGAAGTAAAGTATTTTCCAGTTTTAGTGTTTTTTTTCATTTAAAGGGAGTTGTATTTTTAGATAACGGGGGAATAACTGAATTTCTGATGCACAAAGGCCTGTGAGCTCCCAGCCGGCGCAGCACTGGACGCTCGCCCAAGGCAGCCCGGCCGCCCGCCGCCCGCCCTGTGGCCTCTGCTCCCGTCTCCTCGCGGCGGCAGCCCGGGGAGGGCGGGCCGGGCCGCACCGGTGACTCTGCCTCTGCCCGCAGTCTGCCGGAGCTGCCTGGTCAAGTACCTGGAGGAGAACAACACCTGTCCCACCTGCAGGATCGTCATCCACCAGAGCCACCCGCTGCAGTACATCGGGTGAGCGCCGGCCGCCCGGTCCGGCCACAGGCAGCCACCGTGACAGGAGTCCGGCGGCATTCACTCGGGCCAGGGCCGCCCACAGGGAACTCGGGCCACGGGGGCCCCGCCCACAGGGAACTCGGGCCACGGGGGACCCCGCCCAGAGGGAACTCGGGCCACGGGGGACCCCGCCCACAGGGAACTCGGGCCACGGGGTCCTACAGGGAACTCGGGCCACGGGGGCCCCGCCCACAGGGAACTCGGGCCACGGGGACCCCGCCCAGAGGGAACTCGGGCCACGGGGGACCCCGCCCAGAGGGAACTCGGGCCACGGGCCGCCCAGAGGGAACTCGGGCCACGGGGGGGGGGCCCCACCCAGAGGGAACTCGGGCCACGGGGGGGGGCCCCCGCCCAGAGGGAACTCGGGCCATTGGGGCCCCCGCCCAGAGGGAACTCGGGCCACGGGCTGCCCAGAGGGAACTCAGGCCACGGCGGGGGAGGAGAGGGGGGACCTGCCCAGAGGGAACTCAGGTCTCGGGGGGGGGGGTAGGGGGGCCCACCCAGTGGGAACTCACAGAGGAGTGAGGGGCGAGGACCCTGACGCTAATCCGTGCTGCTCCCCCTGCAGGCATGACAGGACCATGCAGGACATCGTGTACAAGCTGGTGCCGGGCCTGCAGGAAGGTGGGTGTCGGCGCTGCTCCCAGTGGCGGGCGGGGCTGGACCTGAGGCCCACTTCTGGCAGAACCCTCTGTCCCTGCTTGGAACTCACTGGCCCCTCCCGCTGGTCTCATCGTTGTCTGTCCCTCGTCTGCGCCCTCAGCCCTGGGTGGGCGCCTGCAGCCAGCGCTGTGGGCACAGGGGTGCCAGTGTAACTGTTCTTCAGTCACATTTCATGGAGAATTAAAAGAAATGCTCTGTGTACACCCATCCTGTAGAGGGAGTGGCCATTCTTTGAAAAGTTTTGCATAGCCCTGGCCAGTTTGGCTTAATGGGTAGAGCCTCAGCCTGCAGACTGAAGCGTCCCAGGTTTGAATCCAGTCAAGGGCACATGCCTGGGTTGTGGGCTCGATCCCCAGTGGGGTGTGTGCAGGAGGCAGTCGATCCACAATTCTCTCTCATCGTTGATGTTTCCATCTCTCCCTCTCCCTTTTTCTCTGACGTCAATAAACACATATGTACTTAAACGTATACATGCATGTTTAAGTATATATGTTAGATAAAAGTTCTGCGCAGTGCTGCAGGCTGTCCTCGCCCTTGTCAGGGGCGTGGTGGGCACGCTCCGTCCACACGGTGAGGCTGGAGGGAGGCTGATCTTCTCGTTGCCCAGGCTCAGGAGAGGGTGATGGTTGAAGATTCAGCTACTGCGTTAGGTCCGTGGAGAGCATGCCTGGCTCTAGTATGTAACTTGGATGTTCAAGTCCTCCTGGTCCCACGTGCATCCGTGTGGGACTGAAACGCCGTGGGGCATGTAGACGGGAGCGGTGTTGGTCCTGGAACCGGCAGAGTCGCAGAGAGGGCGTAGACGTGGGCAAGACCAGTCACACCCGGGACCCTGTCCGTCCTGGCGGGGCCTTGGGCGTGACTCCCTTCCAGGCAGCTCCCGGCTTTTAACCGTCCGCGTGACCGAGCGCTCACAGGAGCACGGCCTGGAGAGGTTAAAGCTGCCCTGGTCTCTCACAGCGGAGATGAGGAGGCAGCGGCAGTTCTACCACCAGCTGGGCCTTGAGGTGCCGGGAGACGTCAAGGGCGAGGCTGGCTCCACAAAGCAGCACCCGGACCCCCATCGGAACGGTGAGCGGCAGATCACTGTCAGGCCATTCCCGAGAGCTCCTGTCCCCATCCCCTGCCCCCGACCCCGTCCCCATCCCCTGTCCCCATCCCTGTCCCCTATACCCTGTCCCCAACCCTGTCCCCTATACCCTGTTCCCGTCCCTGTCCCCGTCCCGGTCCCCTATACCCTGTCCCCTATACCCTATCCCCGTCCCTGTCCCCATCCCGGTCCCGTCCCCTATACCCTGTCCCCATCCCTGTCCCCTATACCCTGTCCCCTATACCCTGTCCCCATCCCTGTCCCCTATACCCTGTCCCCTATACCCTGTCCCCATCCCTGTCCCCTATACCCTGTCCCCTATACCCTGTCCCCGTCCCTGTCCCCATCCCGGTCCCTGTCCCCTATATCCTGTTCTCATCCTGTCCCTGTCCCCGTCCCTTTCCCCTGTTACCATCCCCTGTCTCTCGTCCCCTGCCCCCCGTCCCCTGTCCCCCATCCCCTGTCCCCCGTCCCCATCCCCGTCCCCGTCCCCTATACCCTGTTCCCATCTCTGTCCCCTATACCCTGTCCCCTATACCCTGTCCCCATCCCTGTCCCCATCCCTGTCCCCTATACCCTGTCCCCATCCCCTGTCCCCTATACCCTATCCCCGTCCCTGTCCCCATCCCGGTCCCGTCCCCTATATCCTGTTCTCATCCCTGTCCCCTATACCCTGTCCCCTATACCCTATCCCCGTCCCTGTCCCCATCCCGGTCCCGTCCCCTATACCCTGTCCCCTATACCCTGTCCCCGTCCCTGTCCCCATCCCGGTCCCGTCCCCTATATCCTGTTCTCATCCTGTCCCTGTCCCCGTCCCTTTCCCCTGTTATCATCCCCTGTCTCTCGTCCCCTGCCCCCCGTCCCCTGTCCCCCATCCCCTGTCCCCCGTCCCCATCCTCGTCCCCGTCCCCGTCCCCTATACCCTGTCCCCTATACCCTGTCCCCATCCCTGTCCTCATCCTGTCCCCGTCCCCGTCCCCTGTTTCCATCCCCGTCCCCACCCCCTGTCCCCAATACCCTGACCTCATCCCGGCCTCTGTCCCCTGTCCCCGCCTGCCTACCCCGCCCCAGGCAGTTTGTAATGATCTTTGTGAAAGTCGGTGACATGGTTGTCCCTTGGGGTTGGGGGCAGAGGGCGCTGCGGAGGGTGGCCAGTGGCTCCGGGAGCGAGTGTAGGAGGCAGAGTGGATGTGGATTCCATGTAAAGTTGATGTGTTGTAGGTCTGTGCGTCGATAGCAGGTCAGAGCAGTCTCCGAGGCCGTGGCGTTTCCCCGTGGGCCACACCGTCCCCGGGAACAGGCCTCCTGTGCTTTGGGAGCCGTCAGGGAGGAGGTGGCTGCTGGCCCCACCGCCGGCCGCTGGCCCCACGGGAACATGCGGGGCCGGAGTCTGTCCCCACATGCAGCCGAGGCGTCTTCCTTTCAAAGTGGTGATGAGTCCGGCCAGTGTGGCTCAGTGGTTGAGTGTTGACCTGTGAACCAGGAGGTCACCCTTCAGTTCCGGCCAGGGCACATGCCCGGTTGCAGGCTCAGCCCCCATTGTGGGGCTTGCCAAGCCATGATTCTCTGCCATCATTGATGTCTCTCCCTCTCCCTTCCTCTTGCTGAAATCAATAAAAACCTATTTTAACCCTTTGTACGCCATAAGCATCGATAGATGCAATTAAATTCAAAATACCGTGGCATGTGGGTGGTTTCCGTGTTGGACGCGTGGCAGTTACTGGGTTAGATAAGTGGCTTTGAGCCATGCCACTGGGGGCACCGTGCCGACTGGAGGTGGAAGGCGTTCCGTGTTGAGCAGCCGTGGTGGCCGCGCTGCTGTGGCCCCTTCACCTCCCACGCTGCCTCCCTGCCCCTCCCACCGCTGCAGACCCATCGGAGCCCCCTGACAGGAGCACACACAGCACACATGGCCCCGCCTGGGCGTGTGCTTGAGTGCAAACTCTCACTACACTTTTTTTTTTTTACATAAATTAAAATTCTTGTAAATATATTTTTATTGATTTCAGAGAGGAAGGGAGAGGGAGCAGAGACAGAAACGTGATGAGAGAGACTTACTGATTGGCTTCTGCCTGGCGCCCCCCGTGGGGATCAAGCCCACAGCCTGGTGTGTCCTGCTGGGAATGGAGACCTTGTTCAGAGGTCGATGCTCAGCCACAGAGCATCCCGGACGGGCCTCCCGCTGGTTTTCCTGGCATTTCAAGTGTATGAGGAGCGGACGGCTCCGCATTTGGGTTTAACAGACGGGACCTTCTCTTTCTGCTAAAAGGTGAAGCCAAAGCAGACGAGAGCTCCCACACGGAGGCTGCGGAGGAGAAGCAGGAGGAGGACAGCGACTACCACCGCAGCGACGAGCAGGTGGGTGCCCGCGCCCCGTGCCCGCGCCCCTGAGCCCCTCCCGTGGGACTCGCTCTCATTTAAAACAGAAAGGCCAGCCGGGACCGGTTTGGCTCAATGGATAGAGCGTTGGCTTGGGGACTGAAAGGTCCCGGGTTCGATTCCGGTCAAGGGCATGTACCTTGATTGCGGGCATATCCCCAGTAGGGGGTGTGCAAGAGGCAGCTGGTCGATGACTCTCTCTCATTGATGTTTCTAACTCTCTCTCTCCCTTCCTCTCTGTACAAAATCAATAAAATATATTTTAAAAAAACAAAACAAAACAGAAAGGCCACAAGGGAAAGAAAGCAGAAACACAAAACGTTCATTCCTTTTCTTAGTTTTTCCTGCCACTTTCTCACTGTATTTTTACTTGCTTTTTAATTGTCAAAGTAACATAGGCTCACTTAAAACATTTCAAATATGAAAAGGGTAAGGTTCAGCCTCAGCCTGGCTCTGGGTGTCACTGCGTATTTGGTGCAGGCGTTTCCCTGCAAATAATTCACGAGAACGTGAAACCTCGTGGGTGTAAAAGGTGATTTAAAATGTCACGTCATTTACTGCAGCATTAGACTGAAAAGGGAAAAGTGGGCAGCACAGATTCTGCAGAAAAGCCTGAGAATCCCGTGTCCTGTCCACCTCGAGCCTAATGGTTCCCAGGCCCAGGCCCCTCCCCTCAGGGTGGCACCCTGGTCCCTCACCCACACAGAACAGACCCATCCTGCTGAGGGGGGAGGGGCCTCGGGAACCATAGGCTGTCCCGGCTCCTGCCCCGCAGTGGCCCACAGAACCCCGCTCCCACTGGGCACATCCTGCAGAGCGGGGGCCTGCCGTGCTAGGGCCTCTCGCCGCAGGTGCCCAGCACGGCCTGTGGGCAGGCGGGCACGTGTGTCTGCACAGGAGCACCCAGACGGCTCCCGCCTCAGGGTCTGATTTCAGAGAGGAAGGGAGACCAGAGCCACAGGGAGCAGAGTTCTCGGTTCCCCTTGGAGTCTGAGTCAGACGGACTGGCAGCGTCAGAGCCGCTCTCACAGCGTGGCAAACAGTCCGTGGGTTTTCAGACAATGTGTGCGCAATGATTTTTAAAATTCCCTTCCTGAGGTGAGGGGTCTGTCTGGTTTCTGGTCTCGAGAGAGGCGGCCTTGGCGGTGAGGGGCTCCCAGGGCGCCGACGCCCCCGGCGAGCCGCCCAGCGCTGCCTCTCTCCCGAAGGTGAGCATCTGCCTCGAGTGCAACAGCAGCAAGCTGCGCGGCCTGAAGCGCAAGTGGATCCGCTGCTCCGCCCAGGCCACCGTGCTGCACCTGAAGAAGTTCATCGCCAAGAAGCTCAACCTCTCGTCCTTCAACGAGGTACCGGCCCCGCGGGCGCCGCACGGCCTTTCTGGTCTCACAGCGTGCTTCCAGCTTCGGGTTTTGGTGTTTTCTTCACAACTTTCTTTGGAGGGCTGAATTAGAAAAGAAAAGCTGTGTGTTCTGCCCAGAGCATCCCAGGAAGCAGGGAGGCAGGGTGGCCCAGACGCGAAGGGAGGGGGTGATGAGTGAGCTTGTTAAAATGTGTCGCAGGGTCAAGTTCACCACCAGACGGACGGACGGACGGCGGACGGACGGACGCGGTGGGTGGGATGACTGGGTGGGTAGGCAGGTAGGTAAAACACTGTCCAGTTGCCATAAATGCCGAGAGGAAATCACAGCCTGGTGGCTTGTGGGCTCCGTGGTGGTGGCTGGAGCACACAGCTGGGGGCCCAGGGCCCTGTGCGGGGCAGCACTGACGCCAGGATGCACCTTGTCCCCAGCAGCCCGCCCTGCGTGAAGAGGCGCGAGCAGAGGGCTTTGAGGGCCTTGAGCACAGGGTGCTGATCTGAGCTGTGGTTTTAAAATAGCCCCAAGCTGCCGAAGCGGTTTGGCTCAGAGGTAGAGCGTCGGCCTGCGGACTGAAAGGTCCCGGGTTCGATTCCGGTCAGGGGCACGTATGCTGGTTGCGGGCACATCCCCGGTGGGGGGTGTGCAAGAGGCAGCTGGTCGTTGTTTCTCTCTCATCGATGTTTCTAGCTCTCGTATCTCTCTCCCTCTCCGTAAAAAATAAATAAAATATATTTTTAAAAAATAAAATAAAATAGCCCCAAGCTGGGGACAGAAATGGGGGCCAGGGCGGCCCGCGAGGGGCTCTCTGACGGGACTGCCAGGGTAGCGGGGCCAGGTGGTGAGGGTGACAGGCCTGAGGTGCGTTGTAAAGAGCACTGGGTGGTGGTGGCCCTGACCCAGCTGTGGCAACAGCCTGACCCAGAACCTGTGAATGGAGCCATTTTGGGGAAGGATCTTTTCGGTGTAACCAAGTGCCTTGAGGTGAAGTAGCCCTGGGGCATCTGGTGGACCTCACGCCAATCACAGTGTCCTCCCCAGAGGGAGCAGCGGAAACCTGAGACACAGGGGTGGTGTGAGGACAGAAGAAGGAGGCAGACAGGGCCTGGGACCGGGGGAGGGGGAGGACTCAGGCTCAGGACCTGGGAGGGGGAGGACGTGGGCCTGGGACTGGGGGAGGGGGAGGGGGAGGGGGAGGACTCAGGCTCAGGACTGGGGGAGGGGGGGGAGGACGTGGACCCGGGACCGGGGATGGGGGGGAAAATGTGGACCCGGGACCGGGAAAGGGGGGGGAGGATGTGGACCCGGGACCGGGGGAGGGGGGAGGATGCAGGCCCGGGACTGGGGGAGGGGGGGGAGGACGTGGACCCAGGACCGGGGGAGGGAGGGGAGGACGTGGGCCCAGGGAGGGGAGAGGAGGGAAGGGGAGGAGAGAGGAGGGAAGGGGAGAGGAGAGGACAGAGAGGGAGGGGAGGGGAGGGGACGGAGGAGGGGAGGGGAGAGGAGAGGAGCTATTCTGGGGGCTGGGCCTGTGACCGCCATGGAGACCCACAGGGTTGATGAGAATGCTGTGTTGGCAGAGACGCCACCAGCTTGGACAGGAATGAGGAGAGGCCGTCACTTGCAAGCTTCAGGCGGGGTCCCTGGGTGGCGCTCCTCCGTCCAGCGTGAGCTGCCTTTCGGCAAAGGGGAGAGGGCTCGGGCAGACCTCACCCCTGGGGCTCCTGCAGCTCTGGCGTTTCTCCTGCTGGACTGGGAGCTTGCCGAGACCAGTCTCCCTCTGCTTCCTCGTCCAACTCCCTGTGGGACAGGCCTGTCTCCTGTGCCTGTTGACCCCGTGTTCCAGTCTGAGGCGGAGAGGCTCTGCCCAGGTGGCCCACCGGAGCCCTCCGCCCCTGGTCCACCTGAGTCGGAGGCAGGTCTGGGATGTTCAGCTGCTGGCATCTGGGTGTGATTCTGAAGTTGATGCTGGAATGACTTGAAACTCTTGGGGCGTTGAGATGGAGGGGATGGGGTGGGTTGGGGGGACCTAAGCTGCCTGTAGTAGGTTGAATGGCAACCCCATCAATAGATACACCCACCTCCTAACCCCCAGAACCTGTGAGTGTGACGGAGCATGACCTCGGATGTGTGTTAGAAGGGGGATGTGAAGGAAAAGAAAAGAATGGAGGTGAGGAGATTGTCCTGAATTGCCAGGAGGTGCCCTAAACCCAGGGAGAGTCTTATCAGAGAAGGGCAGACAGTGTCTCCTCTGATCACAAGGAGCAGAGGTGGGAATGAGTAACACAAGGAAGTCTGGGAAATACACAAGCGTGTGGAAATTAAACAACACACAATTTATCAATGAGTCAAAGAGAAATGAGAAAATTCTGAGATGACTGAAAATGAGAACAGCGTTCCGATAGCGGTAAACAGCCAGGTGTAAAGCAATAGAGATCTCTGCTCAGCAGCCTGACCCACAGCTTCAGGAACTAGGAAAAACAAGCCACACCCAGAGGCAGGGGGAGGAATGGAGATTGTGGCAGATAAGCAAGTTGAGAGTAGAAAAACAACCGAGAAAATCGGTGGTTCTTCAAAAAGTTCTAGCTAGAATGGACTAAGAAAAAGAAGAAGAAAAAGTACTAAAATTGGAAATGAAAATGACATCACTACCAATTTTCAAGAAATAAGAAAGATTATAAGAGAACGAAATGGTTAGAGAGAGTTAGAAACATCGATGAGAGAGAAACATCCATCAGCTGCCTCCTGCACACCCCCCACTGGGGATGTGCCCGCAACCAAGGTACATGCCCTTGACCGGAATCGAACCCGGGACCTTTCAGTCCACAGGTCGATGCTCCATCCACTGAGCCACACCGGTCCGGCCAGTCCAAGCAGTTTTAATGTGATACGTGCCCTCACAGATGGGGTAGCCACCCCGCTCCACCCGGACCCGGCATCCTCCTGCTAACAGGAAGTGAGCGATGGAGCCAGGGGAGCCCTGGGGGAGCCATAGACACTGTGGCCCATGACGGAGCCCGTGTGGGAGGCTGCTCCCCGGACCCCCCCCCCCCATGGCGGCCTGGTCACTGGGGGACAGGGGAGCTGAGCTGACGGAGCAGGAGGGTTCCAGGTTCTGTGAGACCGTGCTGGACCCTGTGTGCAAACCCACAGGGGTCAGCCCGGGCGCCTCGTGTGCAAACCCACAGGGGTCAGCACGGGCCTCGTGTGCACACCCACGGGTCAGCCCGGGCGCCTCGTGTGCAAACCCACAGGGGTCAGCCCGGGTACCCTGTGTGCAAACCCACAGGGGTCAGCCCGGGCGCCTCGTGTGCAAACCCACAGGGGTCAGCCCGGGTGCCCTGTGTGCAAACCCACAGGGGTCAGCCCGGGAGCCTCCCTTCCAGGGCTGCTGGGGGGCGGCGGGCATGTGGGAGAGTCTGGGCCATCTGCTCAACTTTGTGTGAACCTAAAAGGCTCTAAAAACCTCTCTTTGAAAAGGAAGTAACGACAGGAAGCCCTTTTCCCTGAGGCGGGCGGGACGAGCGTGGCTGGGTGGGCGAGGCGGACCGGGTGCTCCCGGCGAGGGGCCGCCAGGGTGTGGCCAGGCTTCTCCGCTCCGCCTGCGCCCTCGGGGCTGACCAGCGTCTCTCCCGCCAGCTGGACATCCTGTGCAATGAGGAGATCCTGGGCAAGGACCACACGCTCAAGTTCGTGGTCGTCACACGGTGGAGGTTCAAGGTGAGGCCTCGTGCTGGGTGTGGATTCAGGGTCTGCCACGGCCGCCAGCGCTGCCTGTGCATGCGCTGCCTGCGCCCGAGCAGACGGTCACGTGTTCTAGAGAGAAGTGCATCCTCCCTCCCGTGTGCAGGGCCCGGTCCGACCCAGCCTGTCCGTGCGCGGCCGGGGCCGCTGGCGGCTGCTCCTCTCGCTGCGATTAGAAATGAGCTCCAGTCGCAGGAGCCTCCGCCGCCTCCTGGTGGCATGGGGGTGCCGCTCCGGGACCCAGCCTCCCTGGGCCCTTGGTGAAGGGGGGAGCAGGTGGGCAGCGCCCTGTCCTCTGGGGAGGGGCCCTCGAGGTCAGAGACGGGCAGCTGCACCCTCCGCTCTGCCCTGCTGAGCCGGGCGTGGCCCCGGCCTGTCTTGCAGAAGGCGCCGCTGCTGCTGCACTACAGACCCAAGATGGACCTGCTGTGACGTGCGGACGGCCCGGGCGGAGCACGGCGCAGACCCTGGCCCGGGACGGACTTCTGAGCAGAGTATTTATCACTTTTGTACCAGAGTTCGCACTCGACGAGACACTACCAGCAGCAGGTGACAGGCAGCGGCACCCCGCTCCTGCGACCGCCCCACCCTCCCTCGCCGCCGGCCTCCCCGCCTCCCAGGCCTCCGGTCTCCGCCGTTTCCGTTCAGTCGCTGAGTTAGGGTTCATGACAAACGCACGCGTGTGTGGGTGGGTCCTCGTAGAGTCACGGAAGGCGTTTTCATGGTGGGTGATGGCTGCGTGGTCCCAGGGGATCTGGAAGGATATCGAGAGCAAAACAAAGGAGGTTGCCACTCAGTGCAGTTTCGAGGGGCTTGGTGTCCCCGTGGTGACCTGAGGGAGCCTGCGTGCCCGCAACACCGACCTGGCCCTGACCCCTCGTCCCCCTGCGTGCCGCCCGCCCTGCCAGCCCCGTGGTTCTCCCCGAGCACCAGGCTGGCACGGGGACGGCGCTCAGCGACCCACACCCAGCCCTGGGCACACTCGCTCTCTCCCCCCGTTCTCCACCCAAACGCTCACGTTTCTGTGGAATCAGAGAAAGAACATCTGGCAGCACACGGTGTTCCTTTAGACCAGCCCCTGAGGATGCAGAAGGCGAGATTGGGGAGAAAGGCCCGTTCCCCTGTCACGTTCCCGTGTCCGTGTGGTCCTGGGCTCATGGTCACTCCGAGGTCCCCCGGCCCTGCCCCTCAGGCCTGTGGTCCCTACGCCCACCTGCTCTGTGCTGGCTTTTCCATGAAGCTCTCACTTTAGGGACTAGAGTTTTCTCAAATTGGCTCCAGACCTGTGGGCTCACGGCTGCTTCCTCTTCCATGTACACAATCAGCGCAGAGGAAAATCTCCAAATTAACTCAGTCCAGGCAATCTTAACGTAAGGCTTTTAGAGCCCTCGAAGCCCATTGTTAGGGGTGGCCAAGTTGCTGTCAGCCGTGACCCCTGCCTGTTCATCCACACGGTTCTCCGTTGCTCTCCGAGGCCTGGCGAGTGGATGTGTGTGAGCAACCATGACCTGTCTACCTCAAAACGCACATTGCCGCTGGCACACCTGCTGACCCCAGGACCCCAGGGCGGTCTCCGAGCGTGGGGGGTTCCCGGGGGACGAAGGAGGGTGAGCAGCGGGAGTGTCCGCCTTCAGAAACGTGGTTCCAGCTCATACGGGGCCGACAGTTTGCGCCGCCGGTGCAGCAACCCGAGCTCTCTGTGCGAACACTTGAACTTGCATTTGCTATGGTGCTAAGCTGAACCCGACACACCGAGGGGCGGGGCCGGCCCAGCAGCAGCAGAGCCTATTTTTCTACGATTTCCTCGCAGCAGCCTGGGACCTGCTGGGCGGACTGCGGCCGCGGCCTCGCGCGGGCCGATTGCTTTCTCCGGAGGGAGTGCCGTCGGCGGGCTTCCTGGCGGAGCCCCCTCCGTGCGCGGCTGGGACGGCCGCTCGGCGCTCGCCCTCCGCAGCCTCGGGACTCGCCGTGCGGTTTTCACGAGAACAGAAGATGCAGATAGATATATAATATGGAATTTAAGATTGGGGGGTTGGAAAGAAAACTTAACTTTATAAAATTATTTATTCTATTTTAAGCGTTCTATCCTATTTTCCCATCAGCCATCTGGTCCGTGCCGCTTTGTTTACAGGCATATAAGTGAAAGGGACGTTGGCAAGCTTCTTCCTTTGCGTTCGGTCGCCGTTGCGTTGTGCGGTGAGGAGCGAGTTTATGCTTTCTGCTTTTGTGCAATAGGCTCCCCGTGTACCGGCGTCGAGTGGCTGGGGTGTCCAGACTGCACGCCGAGCTGCTGGGTTCTCCTTTTTGTTGTTACGATAAGATGCTGTTCTCGGGACTGCCTGTCGCCTGTCAGCAGCCTTACAGATGGGACCCGGCAGGCAGGCGGCCCCATGTGTGCAGGCCTCGCACCGACTCCGCGTGCCCAGACACACACACACACACACACACACACACACACACACACGGCAGCCCAGGTGTGAGGTGCAGTCCCAGGCCCTGCGCCCTCGGGCGGTCCAGTTAGGAGTCCTTACCACCATCCTGTGCCTCCGCACACGGCTGCGCCACCGACAGAAGTGTCATTGGGGTGAGTGTTCTCGGAGCAAACCAGCCGGTTCCCATGACGTTTGTCAGTGTTGGCTGTGCAGGCTCGTGCAGGCAGCCGTCAGCCTCAGGAGCCCGTGCACCACCCGTCACCGGTGCCCTTAGCCCTCGGCAGGCGGAGAGGGCCCAGGCCGCGGTTCCCGAGGCGCCCGGCGGGCGGGGAGGGCCGAGCCCCCATCAGGTGTCCCCGGAGGGCAGTCTGTCCCCCAGCTCGCTGGGTGTGAGAAAACCACCTTTCCCCGTCCGTGCGGGTTCGGGCGGGGCCTGCCACCGTGGCCACACGCTGCCCCGGGGTTTGGGATGGCAATGCGGATGCATATTTTTGTTTAATTTGAAAGTTTACATTTTTATGCTTTGTGTTGGTGTGTAACTTTTGTACTATTGGTGGCTAGTTTTGTCTAAAACCTTTTTTGGAATATTGCTTAAATGTTTTGATTTTATGACAGTGAAGCTTGTACTCAGTGTTTTGCCAATTAATATTATATGCTTGTAATAAAAGCAAAGGAAACAGCTCCGTCTCCCAGGCTGGGCCTCATCCTCCACCATCTCTGTGAGAGCCCACAGTCGCCGTGGGCAACCAGGCCGAGCGCCCAATCTGGGTCCCGGGGTTCAGGCCTTCGCCTCGTGGCTCCACGTGGCACCCAGGACGCAGAGTGCGTGAGGGGCCCGGGTGGGGCGGGGCGGGGAAGGCGGTGAGGGCTGGTGGGCGGGAGGCCAGCGGCAGGCAGCAGGGTGAGCTTCCCTTGGCAGCTTGTCAGGTGGCTCTGAGGACCGGACACACAGACACGCTCTGTGGACGTGGACTTCTCCGAGGAGTTTGCTCCTGGATGTGGAGGCCCAGCATCCTGGGAGGGCGCAGGCCGCGCACCCAGGGGCCGAGAACCGCGTCCGGGTTGCCATCCGGTGGGCAGCGGCCCCTCCCCTCAGCCTCTTTGGCGGTTCTGGCCTGTGGGGTGGAGCAGTGCCCACACATTGGGGAGGACTCCGATGCACCGGGTCTCTAGTGTGCTAATAATATGCTAAGGCCGCTCAACCACTCACTCTGACATGCACTGACCACCAGGGGGCAGATCCTCTGATTGGTAGGTTAGCTTGCTGCTGGGGTCTGGCCTATCCAGACCGACACACCCTGGAGCCCTTCCATAGTCCCTCCCTGGCTGGCCAATCTCCCACGTCCCTCCCTGGCCCCGATTGTGCTTCCCTCCCTCAGCCTGGCCTGAGCCCTCTCACAATTCGGGACCCCTCGGGGGATGTTGGAGAGCTGGTTTCGGCCCAATCCCTCAGGCCAGCCCGAGGAACCTCACTAGTATCTGATAAAAGTCTGTCATCCAAAGTATGCAAAGAACTCATAAAACTCAAAAATGAGAAATCAACTCAAATGTGTGCAAGAGACCTGAACAGATGCCTCACCAAAGACGATACACAGATGGCAAGTAGCACATGAATAAATGCTCAAAATCATGTTACTAGAACACTGCAAATTGTAACAGTGAGACACCTGTCAGAACGGCCAGAATCCGGGACACGGACGCCCCGGTGCCGGTGGGACGGGGGGCAGCAGGAAGGGCCTCGCCCAGAGCTGGTGGGTGTGACCTGTGGCCACGCCGGTTCCTTGGCCCGTTGATGACAAAACTCAACCTATTCTTACCACGTGTTCGAGCAGCCACGCTCCTTGGTATTTGTCCAAATAACATCTGCCACACAAACGTTTCACAGATGTCAGAACCAACCACCAAGCTGTCCCTGCAGGTGGGCGGATGTCTCCTCCGACAAAGGAATGTGATGGAGCGGTAAGACAGACGGAGCTCTCCGGCCAGGAGGGCACACGGGGAACCGTAACCACACGTCCCTCAGTGGCAGGCCAGTGAGGAACGCCTCAGGCCGCCATGCAGCTGTGAAGTGCTGTGAAAGCTGTGCGTTCGGAGCGCAGCGGGTCCGGAGCGGGGACGGGCAGGGGAGCGGCGGGGTCTAGGGCGGTGAAACCGGCCTGAGTGACGTCTCCCGGACCCGTGTCACCTGTGACCAGACTCGGATGTGCAAGGAGACTAGGAAACTGAGCTGGTGACGCTGTCGGAGTTGGTTCGCACCGAGGCGGCCTGTTAGCGCAGGGGAGGCTGAGCAACAAGAAGTCCATTCATTTTCTCATAAAGACGACCACCCGGCGGTTAAAACGAAGGGAGATTCTAACGAGAGGAGGCGTCTCAGAGGGAGGTGGGCGTGGCCAAAATCCTGCAGGGAGGGTCACGGGGACGCACACCAGCCCCGGCGCTGCACCTGCAACCCCCATGGACACGCCGCCTGCGGACCGAAGGGTCTGGGTTCGATTCTGGTCAAGGGCACATGCCTCGGAGGCAGCATCCTCCCTCTGGACCCCACAGCCCGGGGCCTCCCGACCCCATGGCCCGGGGCCTCCTGAGGCCTGACCCCACAGCTCAGCCTCCGGAGCCCACGGCCCAGGCCCTCCTGAGGCCTGACCCCACAGCTCAGAGCCTCTGGAGCCCACGGCCCCCCCGGGGCCTCCGGAAGCCGGCCCCGCCTCCGGACCGAGCTCTGCCTCCCTCCAGCATAAACCTCCGCAGTCGCCTTCTGCGCGAGGACCTGTTTATTCCGAGAACAGCCCCGGCCCGGCCTGTCCTCGGGGCAGGAAGAGGTCACCCCAGCGCCGGGGCTGAGGCAGCGCCAGGCCTCAGGGGACCCCCCGGGAGGCAGGGCTCTGGACCACAGGCTGCCCTTGGGCGGGAGGGAGATCCCGGGCTCCTGGGGGAGGACAGGCCCCGCCGAGTGCGGCTCCTGGCCCGCACCCTGGGCCGGGCGGTGGGGGCGGGCGCAGG